GGATCAAGTCGGTCTACGTTCGAAAACGTGAACCTGGAGCAATCTGGGAGCGCATCCAGAATGGAGCGCCTGTAGGAGACATGGCCAATGTCTCAGAGCCGTGGTCCGACGTCATCAGTTTCACTCACCGTGCTTCGCAAGGCTATATGGCGCTGCAGCCGAGAGTGGTTTTGGCCCCAAGGTCCGAGATTCGCTCGTTCGTGCCGCCTACACCCCCAAAGCCTAGGAGACTTAGGGAATCATCCAAGACGTCAGGTTCCGAGGACACAAGAACACCAGAAGGGTCCATTATTTCTCAAACTGTTCGTCCAGAGTCTGAGCCACAATCGCCAACCAGTCCCGTATCCACAGAGTCCGCAAGTTACGAGCCAGTAGCACACATGGCATGGGACCTCGATAGGAGAGAACAGGTTGAGATCAATTTGGATGATAGCAATGAAACCGATTCGGAAGTCCCTCCAGATCCCAATACACAGCCAAGTAGTTCAGGAGTCTTGTCCATTCCATTGCAAATTGACCCCAATGAGAGAACCACCATGGGTAAGAAGCATAGGAGAGCAGTCTTGGAGGGCATTGACCGATTGAACTATCAAGATGCATTGGTCAAATCCAGCATTGGTCTGAAGGACGTCCCAGTTTCTGAGCCTCCAACCTTGGTCATTACTTCGCATCCCCGCATCTTTCAGGAGCTTCAAGCAGCAGATGGTGTTGCAGAGGTTTTTGACGTCGGTGTGGGAGCTGAGTACCTCAATCCTGAGGAGGACTCCAAGATTTGGTATGATGTGTTGCAAGACTACAAGAACATCGTCATTGCCATCGAGTATGAACGGAGTACAGATCCTTTGAGACATGGAAAGATTTTGGGTGAAGTAGAATCCCATTGTGACATGAGTGGTAGCCGGTTTTTGCACATTGACGTTGCAACTACCCCGAGATGGGAGGAGCATGAGTTTCCACAGATTCCCCATATCAACGACCATGACTTGGCATTCACCTGCAATGATCCCAAGTGGACTGAGCTTTTCGAATCGTGGTTTCGAGGACAGACCATGAATGATGTTTTGGCTTGGCAGTTCGTTGATTGGTTAGGTGAATGGACCAATGACACAACTCTGGATGATGAGATGTCTATTGCATTTGTTGGTGAACTGCAGGAAGAGGTGATGGACGATGAACAGCAGTTCGATGCGATCTGGGATGATGATGACCGTGCTCAGGTGAACCCAGTAGAAGACCTGATCTCGGAAGAGACACTGGTCGATGAAGTAGACATCCCAGGCCTGCCAGCAGATGAAGCCGAACGACGCCGGATGTGGCGCAAGTTGCCTGCACGTGTGAGGATTGGTGTGAGAAGATTGCATAGGCAATTTGGACACGTCCCCAAACAGACGATGATCCATCTCCTTCGTGCAGCAAAGGTTCGAAAGGAATTCATCGATGCTGTCAGGATCCACAGATGCGAAACTTGTGAAGCAACATCCCAGAAGAAGGCCACGCACAAGACAGCATTGCCTAACAACTACTCGTTCAACCACACTGTAGGAATTGATGTGTTTGAAGTTCACGACATTTCAGGTGACAAGTTCCAAGTGTTGAACATGGTTTGTTTGGGTACTACTTTTCAGCTATGTGAGGTTGTTCGTTTTGGTGCCGGTCAACCGTCTTCTGCCGAATGTCTGAAAGCATTGAGGAAGCGTTGGTTCTCATGGTGTGGCCATCCTGTGAACATTGCATGTGACAGAGGTCTGCACAACCGAGGTGTCATGAAGAAGTACATGGATGAACATGGAATCCAAGTGTTCCACACTCCTCTGGAAAGCCCGGAGAACCTTGGTCGTGTAGAGCGCCACGGAGGGATTGTCAAATCACTCTTCAGGAAGGTCTGCAAAGAGACAGGCGCTATTGGCAGAGAACAGGTTGAGAAGGTACTGCTCGAGGTAGTTGCTACCAAGAACAACTCTAGTAGAGTCGGAGGTTTCTCACCTAGTCAATGGGTACTTGGAAAAGGACCCCGATCGGATCCGAGTCCATTGTCTGAAGAACGGTTCGCCGAGCTTGGAGCTATTGAAGCCCGTCACAACCCAGAGAGCATTTTCGCCTTACAGCACATGGCCAGGCAGGAAGCCCAGAAGGCATTTGTTCACCTAGATTGTTCGGCAAGAGTGTCCCGTGCGCTTACTCGCAATGCTTCTAGTCTCCCTCGGGAGTACGCAGTAGGCGATCTAGTGACTTTTCGCCGAGACAACCAAAAAGGGGGCACCACATGGAGTCCCACTAGCCGGGTGATAGGCCATGAAGGTGAAAGGAATTTGTGGTTGTTGTGTGGAAATGTTCCAGTGTTGGTTGCCAACCAAAACGTGAAGATTGCTACGCCGACCGAAGCACTAGCTCATGCTGTTTTGCATGGTGAACCTGTTTTTCCCGAAAACGTTGTCAAGGAAGGTGTTCAGCAGTCTTTCCTTGATGCACGTGCAGATCCGAGCGAACCCGGATCCCCGATACACATCGAATCTCAAGAAACCGAACCCCAATTTCCGGATGCTGGTTCACTACCCCCTGTTCCAGAAGATGATGAGTTAGATGTAGGGATCAGACCGGATTTCTTTGATGAAGACCAATCCGAAAGTGAAGATGCGCTTGAAGAGTTGAGTAGGTCCGCTAGCTCCGTTTCACGTCCGTTCCCTGACACAGGAAATGAGCATAGCCGCAATGTGAGGCCCCGTGTCGCCGAACCGGAGAGTGAACGCGGTACCTCATTGCAACCATCCCGCAGGGAGTCTACGAGTGCTCCACATGCATGGCCTAATGTGTATGATCATTTGAACGACTTGCCAGCTTCTCTACGAGAACATTTTGAGAGAGCACGCCAGAGAGACAGAGAGCTACCAGAGCAAGATCGAGAAGACGCACATGCCATGTGGACTAGTTTTCTTGCCCAGACTGAGGATGAAGCAGAGCTAGGTAAGAAGGTTCTAAAGAGCATTCACTATGAATCTGCGCCTCCAGAAGTGCAGAAAGCCCTGCAGGAAACAAGGCAAAAGGAATGGTCCAAATTTGAAGATTTCGGAGCAGTAGTGGCATTGAGCCCAGAACAAGCGCAAGAGCTCATTGATGAAGGGCACCAATGCATTCCATCCAAATGGGTGGATGTAGACAAAGCAGAGTACAAGAAGGGGAGAGACCCTGACTACAAACCCCAATACAAGAGCAGACTAGTTTCGTGCGGAAACTTCGAAGTGACAGAGGGTTTGAGGTCAGATAGTCCAACGGCCGATGTCGAGATGCACTGTCTCGTCTGCAGTTGGGCAGCCTGTCATCAGGCCGACATCCATTCAGCTGATATCACCTCGGCGTATTTCCAGGGACGACCATTGGATCGCGTCCTTCTCATGCGTCAGCCAAGAGGAGGTTTGCCAGGTGTAGAACCCAATGTCCTTTTTCTCGTGAGGGTCCCTGTATACGGAATCACGGACTCAGGAAGAGGCTTTTGGTTGCGTTTGGATGCCGATGCACGTAAGAGCGGCCTGAAGGCAAGCCAGTTTTTCCCAGGATTGTACTACCTCCCAGGTGAGCAGGGAGGAGATGCTTGTGCCCTCATGTGCACTCACGTGGACGATTTGCTTTATAGTTTTCTTCCGGAAGGCGAGGAAGTGATGAAGTCTTTTCTTGCCAAGTTCAGTGTCGGCAGCTCAGACACTAACAGCTTTCGATATTGTGGGAAGCAATTCGTGCGAGGAGATGACAAGGTCATCAAAGTCGACACAGCAGATAACACTCGGAAGATTCATGGAGCAGATGTTGGGTCTAGGCTAGGCAGTGAACGTCTCCAGCAAGGAGACATCACGAAGCTCAGATCGATCACCGGATCGCTCGCCTGGATCTCGAGACAGACCAGGCCTGACCTTGGTTACAGGGTAAGCCGTTTGCAGTCTAGCATTAAAGATGCAACTGTGTCCACGTTGGCAGACGCTAACGCAGTCGTTGTCCTGGCACACAAAGGTCACGATGTGGCATTGTGTTTTCCTGCGGCTCATCTCCAATGGAGTGAAGTTGGTGTGATCACGGTCACAGATGCCTCCTTCTCCAACGAGAAGAACTACAAGTCGCAACAGGGCAGGATCCATTTTCTGGGTGATCTCAAGGAGATCAAAGATGACAAGACGACCACTTATAAGGTGATGCCATTGTCTTTTGGATCCACGACAATTAAGAGAGTCTGCCGCAGCACTCTCCAGGCCGAAACGTATTCTCTCCAGAACGGACTCGAGACAGGTGACAAGCTGAGAGGTGTGATTGCGGAGATCAAGGGCAAGATTCGCAGTTTGAAGACATGGGAAGATGATGCCCGTGAATGCATTCCGCATTTGGCGATGACTGATTGCCGTTCGCTTTCTGACCACCTCAATCAGGAAGTCCTGGCCAAGGTGAGTGACAAGCGCCTTGGTATCGAGTTGCAAGGAATCCATGAGAATTTGTGGCAAGAAGGAAGACCAACATGGATTGCTTTCGAGAATGGAGGAGACAAGTTGATCTGGATTGCCACCAGTACGATGGTGTCGGACTGTCTGACGAAGTCCATGAAACCAGATCTGCTACTTCGAGTGCTGAAAGAGTGCCACTACACTGTACAGAAGCAGAAGTAGATTTCTCCAATGCCTTAGGAAGACACAAGAGTTTCAATGTATAGCCGTGTGACACCTGTAGAACAGGTTGAGTGTGAATTTGAGGTAGGATCTCATTCTGTTGAGCCAGGTTGTCACACTATGTTGTGTCTGCCGCCGTTTGGCTCCTAGGGCCCTTGAGCTATACCGTGCTCGCTTTCGCAGTGAAAAGAGCGTGTGGACAGTACGATTCCGGTTGCTACCGACAATATAGTGATCACTGTGATCCCCATGTGACCTCCAATGTCCAACAGATTCTGGCAGACATTCTCAGTCACTCGCCGCTCGCGACGCCGGGACCAGCGTTCGCGGCGTACGTTCGCCCCGCTGTCGACCAAGGCCATCCCTCAAAGAGATGGTCACGTGCCACGCGGCGCGCGAGCACAACTTCACCGGTCGCTTTCAGTATGCCTCGCTGCTGCTGGCATTCAATGAGCACCTGGGAAGACATGGCAACCGAAAAAGAGGTTGGCCCACACCAGAGAGCGGGTTCCAAGACTTTGCTATGAGGGCCAGCCCTCAGACGGTTCAAACACTTGAAGTCTCAATTTCCAGCAAATACACTGCTAGTAGAGTCCCGGCAGATTTTGCTGCAGAATGTTAAAGGTTATCATTGCACTGGGAGGTGGCAGTGGCGACACCACCCACTCCTAAGGGTTGCCCAAAGTCGGTATGTGCGTCTCATGTTTACATATGTTTACCATGTTTGTCCGAGGAACTATGTGCAAGGACAGCCTGAAGAGAACATTGTCAAGGTGTGGCAAGCCGTTTGATCTTGCATACAAACACACCAGTGCATGCCATCTCGCCCAGGAAAGTCTCAAGTGTTGAAGTGTGGAGCCAATGTGGCTGGTGAGATTGGGGCAGGGAGATCATTTGTATCCCGAACTTCGAGCCTGGAGAATTCCCCTGCAGATGTGCATGTGCCTGTGCGTGCCTGCCCGTTTGTATACCAAAAGGGTGCAATGGGCAAGGGCAGATTTGGAACCCGATTCTCTCCTGGCTCTTAAGTCGTTGTTTTCCACTCGAGGCGCAGTCGTTTTCCGTTTTTAACGGTGTGACATGTCGATACGTTTCACAATATCAATGACATGTTTCCCAATTGCAAAGCAATGATGCCAAAACGTTGGCCCTAAGTGTGTTCTGTTCCAAAGCCACTGAAATTACTGTACAGTTTTCTTTGCTCATGCAGTACTCAACTCAAGTAACTAATCTGTGGTCTCTGAGTCATGGCGAAGAGAATTTCAGCGCTGCAGCCGAGTGGTGAAATCCTGCTTCTTGAAGTCACGCCAGAGACAACAGGCAAGGAGCTCAAGCAGCAGATCAAGGACAAACAGCGTTGGGACGAGCTCACTCACAAGACTACAGGTGTGGAGATCATTGTCGGACACAATCATTTGCTGGCAGATGATGTTGAGGTATTGGACGCTGGAATTGCTGAATATACTGTTGTGACTGTCGTCTTCAAACCAAACAAAGTCATCTGCTCCAACAAAGATACGATCGCCAGTCTTGGCCGCAACGTTGACCTGGAACTGCCGCTTGTGGTCGAAGTTCCAGATAATGAAACAGACATTCCGCATGATGCTTTCATGGAGTGCAAAACATTGGCGAAGCTGACCATCCCAAACACAGTGACCCACATTGGGGAATCTGCCTTTCACAGTTGCACATCTTGGTCAGACTTGACCATCCCGAACTCTGTGACCCACATTGGGGAGCATGCCTTT